TTTTTTTTTTTTTTTTTTTTTTTTTTTTTTAATGTATCTCAGGCGTAACAACTAAAAAGGCTCATCCTTGGGATATTTTAACAGATAATTCTCTTCGTCAGTATAAATCTCTACAAACTTTGTTGTCAGAAGAAATAGTGAGCTGAGTGAGGGGTTTGATCCCTATATTCAGAGGCCTGCCCTAATGCTATCATGTGGAGCCATGATGAGAACACTGTCGGGGTGCAACATGCTCACTCTTGTTTTGTGGTCTGCAGCTGCAGGCAGCTTCCAGGTCTGCTCAGAAGAGGGCATCTGCATGGAGAACTGGCCCCTCCAAGCAGTCTGAGGGGGTGCGAAGGCTGAGAGGCTGCAGGAGCCCGTGGGTCTGGCTCCCACTGCCTCTCTGTGCCCCTGCCAGAGCAAGAGCTGGGTGCAGACCTTTCCTTCCCCACCACCAGCCAAAGAGCAGTTGGGGTCCCAGGGAGGCTCTGTCATTCCTGGTCTGGGACACAGGGGGGATGATCCTGGGACCTGATGTGGAGTGGCCCGCATTCCAGGTGATGTGCAGCCTTGGGAAAGGTTGGCTGGAGCCTGCTGGGCACCAGGGATGTCCTCACAGCTGGAGGAAGGGGAGCACCAGGTGGTCCTGCCACACACTTGGTCTTTTTGCTTCAGCTTCAGGTAAGCCTTGTACTCCGTACATCAGTTTCCAGAGGTGGTTTCCCTTCTGCTGCAACATCAGTTATTCAGATAAATGGCCAAACTGGATGGGTGGTAATTGGGACAAGCTTGTATACTTGTCCCTGTGCTCAGATCATAATCCTTTAGGAAGGGAAACTTACTTCTACAATATCAACATTGTGAATCAGCATCCATTAGCTGTTTCAGAGGATTTCCAGCCTCATGCAAAACAAAAGCCGAGCTATGCTTGTGGACAGCAAAGGAAACATCTTCCAAGGCACACTATTGCTGTACATGGCTGCTTATTGCAGTCCCAGCTTTGCATTTTCAAGACACAAAATATGAATAGCTGCTGATCTAAGCAGCTAATCTCTCTGATACCAGGTGTGTGGATATCCTGAACTGAACATAACATTGGGAACAGTTCCGATCCTATGGGCTTGACTTAGGCTATTCCACAAGCCCTCTTCTCCACAGCATCTCATGCCATCTTCCAGGAGCAGGGCAAGGAGACAAGTATGTTGTTCAGGAGAGTCTAGTTATTTCACCGACCTCAGTAATTTGCTAATGATCCTTGTTAAAAGAAAATGAGAGCACCTGCTATGCCAGCGGGATGCTGGAGGGAGCAGAACCAGATACGAGGTCCAGGGACATTTTTTCCTCTCTGCTGTTACTGCCCAGGCAGTTGAGCTGGCAGCATAGCTTTCTGCAGGCCATTTTTGAAAGCCGACAGAAGCCTTAGTTCAGGACAAGTGTTTAAGGGATCATGGGCTAATTTTTGTGCAGGCACACAAATTGCATTTTGCAGTAGGTGTTGGTAACTTTCCCCATGGGGAAGACCTGGGAGACCGCGATTGTGAGAACAGCTGGAGCATGCTGGCTGTTGCCATCACAGGCAGAAATGTGGAAAGAGATGTCACGTGAGGGAAATTTCTAGAGGTAAGTTCTAAGGAGGTCTGGAAAGCAGCTCCTGACTGTGGGTGGAAGAGTTTATTGCAATGCAATGTACTAGATGAGCAGTGAACATTTAACCCCAGTGAAACTGGAGAAGTACCAGATCAGAGGAGTCCCTTAATTAGATACCTCCATCCCATGAGCTTTTTATCACATTCCCATCTGCCATGAACTTTATGTAGGTTTAAAGTAATTAGCTGTGCTGTCTTCTTTCCTCATACTCTTACCAGAAAGAGCCAGAGCCAGCTGAGCACATAATTTTTGGTACAACTGTTGCTAAGACTATTAATACCTGAAGAAATTCTGCTTGCACCAAAAAATGGGATGGCTACATTCCAGGTAAGGATCACTTTTCTCCAGTTTGTTAGCAGACAGGTACGTTTTTTTAAAGTAAGACATTTCCAGGCTGGAATAAAGATGAGGGAATCATCCCAGGAGCTGAAAGATGCTCTGACTAAGCAAAGACTTCAGGACCAGCCTAGGGGACAAATGTCTAGTTATTTAGGAATATACCATGATCCAAAAGAGTGAAATTACAGAGTGTGGTCTTGTAGCCCTGAAAGGAGCCCCAGTTCTGAGGAACAGATGCGGCAATTAGATCCTGCACTTGTGGCTTTGCCTCGGCCTCTGCCTCTCTGCTGCTGTCAGAAGATAAGCATGATCAAACCAGAAACTCCTTTTGTGAACCCTGTGTCTATTTACTCCATGAGATACAAATACACATGGACCAGGACACCCACCAGCAGCCCAAGATAAAGTCTGCCCGGGCTACCAATCTGCTGTGGAGATGTCAGAGGGCTCCCTTTCAGAGAAAGTGATGGAGGGCCTGGGATGTCTGCCCCCAGGGGGAGGGCTGCAGGCTCACCGGCCCAGTTGGGTGCTCTGTGCAACATTACCAGCCTCCGGGAAGACCAGGCTACAGCTTATCTCTCAAGGCAGAGGTTTATGTAACATAATATGACCAAAATATGTGCAACCAATAACAGACTATTCAAACAATTCCCCTATCAGTCATCAGGTCTCTTGGTCAAAGGACCAAATGGCCAAAGTCTCCATGTCCATGGGTGACTAGGGACTAAGGTATTTCTGTCTTGTAGGCTCCTTCTTACTATGGTTGAATTTAAGGCTGTTAGCTAATGCTTCTTCACTTATAAACCCCATGACTGCAGATTTGGATGCATATGCTGATTCCTTTTAGTGGTGGAATTGCTGACATGTTTGTTAATACTGCTAAAGATACGATTATACATAAGATGTGGCAACCTAGCTGCTAAACTCAAGCAATACTAAAGGAGAAAAATTGTTTTTCTGTTCCTCATTTTATGTGTTAATCATCAAACCCAATATTTAGACCACTTTCTCCATTTACACTATTTTTTTCCCCCAACATTTCAAATATTGACATTTCAATGGTTAAGACACAAATGCAATTTCCAGTCAGATGAAAGTGTCAGCTTATATCCAGCATGCAGGGCCAAACCCAGGTGCCAGGAGGCATTCAGCAGGGAGGGCCCTGGAAGAGGCTGGCCCTATCCTTATCCATATTTCATTAGCAGTTGTCCATCAGTGTGTGCCCAGGTTGCCTTCACAGATTCCCTGCTGACAGGGTTTATAGATAATGTTCAGCTGCTGTTTGTATCTTTTAACATAACTGATTATTTTTAAAGATACAGGCAAAGAAACCCTAAATATGATTCCATATCTCTTGCATGTGTTACAGATAGGAATAAAAATGAAACCAAGTCGTTTAGGCTCATCTGAATTAGGATTAGAATTAGCCCAGGATTAGCAATTTTGTATCTCCAAATACATAAATGCAAATTCCACCCTAATAGACAAATTGGAAAAAAACCCTTACACTTAATTTTTACTTATGTGATTTAGATTTTTGCATGGAAGTTCTTGCACTTGTATGTAAATGGGCAAATACTCAGGGAGAGAAAAACGATTTTGGTCTTGTAAATTATGCTACGTTGGGAAAGAAAAATATGCAAATGGAGATGATCTATGAGAACAGAATTTTTGCAAACAGACTCAAGAGAAATGAGGTGGAGGTCCTGCTGAAAAAATGCTGCCATTTGTTCGCTGGTAGGTTTGTGATGTTTGTTTTAAACCAAGAAATTGCTTAAAAATAAAAGGGCAGCGCTGGGATGTGAAACTCCTGGTGTGCCTGTGACTCGGAGAAATCGATTGAACCGTGGGGGAAGGAAACGAGCCGGCTCAGCACTGCCATTTCCACGCCATGCAGACAACACAGGGCCTCCAGTGGGAACCGCAGCTCCCCAGACATGTGGTTTCAATATCCATAGGGTATGTGGTGATCAATGCTGCTCAGCAGACGTTCAGCTCTCTGTTTCTTGCATACCGTCAGGGCTTGGCAGATAAGAGGGATGGTTTTTTTTGCAGAGCGCACATCGTCCAGGGAGGCGCGCAGCAAAGTTGCCTGCAAACAACTTGCTCGGGAGGGGTGCAGATCCGCCTGCACTTATATATCTGTGGGTTTTCTTTGCAAATCCCCTGCAGGCAGAGTTTGCTCAACTAGTTGAACTGGCTCTTTCTGTCTTGTTTTTTTGGCAAACTAAGAATTTCCTTCCTGATAAAAACGGACGGCAGGCGCCCCAATTGGGTGCCGCGTTGGAGAGGATGTGACATCAGGCACATCTCTCGCTTCGCCGGATCGCTGGCAGCCTACCAGAGCAGCCAGAGAGCTGTTTCGTTAAATCCCAACCCAGGTACTCGAGTTTCTGCACAAAGTGCTGCCAGCACCACATCCTGGTCTGCTGCAGGGTCTGTCTGACTTGTCCGTGCAGAGTCTGCTTAATAGATCACTCCCACCGCTGGGGGCTCACCGGGGACGATGGAATTTGAACTTTTGAGACTGACCGCGAAGTGAAAAAAAACAGAAATTGGACAGACGGGGCTGAGATGGATGATGAGGGAACAAATCAAAACGCCAGCAAATTGCAAGGAGCCGGAGGCCAGGCGTCTGCAATGCCTCTATCAAACTCACTGATGAGAGGTAAGTAATGCTCCTGCCTCGCCGTGAGCCTTCACCTCTGCCAGCGCTGGCAGAAGGCAGGGTCAGGCTGTGACGGTGTGCTGCTCCAGATGTCCTGCTTCCAGGGCAGGTCCACAGTCAGTCCCACAAAATGTCCCCGTGCTCTTCACTTCAGAGGGATTTCAATAAGCTGAATTTTTGGTTATTTTTTTAGTGTATCACAGAAAAGAGTGTCAGATTCTGCACCGCAGTTTGAACAAGCAGAAACAAATGCAGCACTTAAACCACACCACTCTGAAAAAGAAGTTGTAGTGTGGCATGTTTGACTTAGATTAGTGCCAGCTGGAAGCTCAGCACTGGCTCAATTCCTCCTTTCTTTTTCATTCTTTTCATTCCCTTCCTCCATCTTTTTCTCCCTTTCTTTCTCCTTTTATTTTCATTTTTCTTTTTTATTTTCCCTTTTTTGTTTTATTTTTCTTATTATTTTTCCTTTTTCCTTCCCCCCTTTCCCATTTTCCTTTATCTTTTATCCTTTTCCTTTTCTTTTTTCTTTCATATGAGCGGATCCAGGTGTTGTTGTTGCCCAGCCTGTTGCCCAGGCCAGGTCACTGTGGTCAGTTGTGACCAGTGCAGGCTGTGGTAACTGGTGAACAGTTATTCAGACAAATGGCCTCACTCTGATCATTGCTCTGGTTTTGGGCCCAGAGCCATTGAAAATATGACATGGTGACAAAAGACAAGTAATTTAACTTCACATGGCAGTTTAGCTGGACATGTTCCTTGTAGCTCTGTTTTCTGAGAGGCTATTCCTTCAGCTTAACGGCAAGCACAGAGGGAATGAGGTAAATTAAGATAATGCAAATTTACACTGTCCTCACTTATTCCCTGGGCTGCTCAGGATGCTTTCATTCATACCAAATAGAAAATTAAGACCCTAAAAACACAACGCAAAGAGGATCAGTATCTCTGTTGTGTTTGCCTCTCCTCGTGTGTGTCGCTTATGTACATCCTGAGGCTGGTGTGGGAGGGAAGGGATGACAATTTATTAACAGTATGAATCAAACCACGTCCACACTGGATGAGCTCCAGCAAAATGGAGGCTGGAATGAAGGGAGCCCCCACCCTGCACTGCTGCATACAGCTCATTTGGTCCTTTGAAAATCAGAGTTTAGTCCATTCTTCTTGTGTCTTCCTAATCCTTATCAGAGTCGATAATCTCTGCTGGTGATTTACAGCAGGAATGTGTTTGGCTCAGGCTACATATATCACAAACTTTAGCGGAAAGCCTTAGAATATGAAAAATACCATTTGTAATACTGTTATATGTAATGCCATAGGCATACGTGTATGCAAATACGCATGCAAGAGCATACCTCTCAAAACAATTTCAAAGCCCTTTGCAAGCTGCACTGTGCGTGACGGATGCGGAAGGAAACCAGCCTGGGGACAGGCACAGAGGGTGCAACACCCTCCCCATGGTTAGAGGCTAGGAAAAGGTACTTTCAGCCATCACCACAAAAATGAGTGCTGTTCTAGAAAGGTCCGGTGGATGCTCAGTTGTCCCCAGGGAGCAGACATGCATGGTTAACATTATAAGGCTTCCTCTCTATATGCCACCCTGCCAACATTCACGTGCCCAAGACATGACGGTGCAATCAAATATGACCAGAGGTTTAATGTAACCTCTGAGCTGGCTGGCATCTTCAGTGGTGAAAGGGGAGGTAGGTGACCCAATGCCACTGAAAGCCAGTGTGATTTGGATGTCTAGATGCTGAAGTTGTTGAGGCCTGGCTCAGCTTCCCTGTGGACTAGGGTGTGGGTAGATGTCAAATTTGGATATACAGCCTTGTTCCTCTGTGAAAGAGCAGCTGTACATATTTTTGGCAGTCAGAAATCCTTGTTCCTGTGGTAGTGCATACAGTGAACACAGCTGTGCCACCCACGTGGCCTTGCTCCTTCACAGGCAGCTCTGGTGGGCAAAAAGTTTTGAGGGCTTTCCTGAAAGTCACTATTTCAGGATTTCAAAAGTCCATGGCCAGTTAGCACTGGCCTTTGCTTAGGCTTTAATCAAAAGCCTGTGTATGGTATAAATACTGATCATTTTTATTACTGACAGCATGCTTCCTGTGCTGTGCAGAAGAGAGGAGTGAGACCCCAACATCCACTGCAGCCTTCCTCCTCCTCCAGGCGAGAAACACAAGTTCCAACTTGGAGCAGGCAGAAAATAGAAACTTTGTGGTTTGCTGGAGGGTGATGACCTGGGTGCAGGAACTGGGGAAATTCGCTTTTCCCTGCAGGAAGGTTGCCTCCCCAGCATTACTTCAGGGTGGAGGGTTTGCTGCAGACGGAGCTAGGGCAGGAGGCCATGCCGTTCCTGGCAGCAGATTTGGAAGCACATTGTAGCAAGTAGTCATCAGACAGACTTTAAACACCTTCTTCCCAACATATCCAACCAAGGCTGGTGTGAAGCTATGATAGGCCTCCACTTCAGTTTAGGATAAAAGCCTTGGTTCCTCTCAGTACAGAATTCACAGCTGGATTATGACGTGTTGGCACATACCTCTTTTTATTTTCTACAGACATTTATTTTTTGATGCTTATGTGCTCAGTCTTTTAATTCGTTGTTAAGACTTGGGCAAAATTGCAAGCTAATGGCCAGTCCATAGATGACTATGGTGTGGTCTGGCTCTTTTTAGAGTCTTAGTAGAAACCTGCCTTTTCTCAAGCAAGCACTGAATTCATAAATTCAGTACGTGGATGTGATGGCATGACTGGGCACCTTCCTCTTTGTCAGAATGCTGACACGATGATATAACAACTTGGTAGTGTGCACAAAACCCTGCCTGTATTTGTGTGGCCAAAAAAAGACCAAGCTGTAGCTCAGAAAACTTGTTCCTCAATCTAGATTTTTAGGATTACTATAAACATTCTTCCCTTGCAACTCATGCAGATTGGGCAATGGCATTATTTTCTAAATGGGAAAATCAAAAGCTTTTTACAGGGCCTCAAACACAACCAAATGGCAACACAGGCAGGATCGGCAAGAACAACAGTATTGTCAGATAAGCATCATTTCACACACAGCACTCAAAAGCAAAGATATTCTAGTCAGTTAATAATACTGTGCTTTAATAATTGTAGCATAGTTTGGCTGTCCTTATGAGACCGAAACCGCAACTTCTGGAAATGGCTGTCCATTTGCTAAAGTGAAAGGAAGTTTGTGAACGTACTGGAACTATGTGTTTGTTGTGGGATGTAGCCTGTGAAATATAGAAGGAGGCAGGCAGAGCTCAAATTATGCTAATAGCAAAGTACATGATGACATACATTACCCAGGTTTCCTGAGTTCATTCCTCTGTTTATTTCACGAACTGGGTATCACCCATAAAGCTGTATTGGGCTTCTAATTTTGGCCTTTTCATTTTGAGGCCTCTCCCAAATACAAATCACATCTGAGTTGATGAATCTTTGCTTGTGAGGTTTGAGTTGCTTCTCGGTTTCTCATTTTTTTCCTTTTGTGAAAGTAATACAAGACTGGGAAAGATCACTTGACTCATGGACTCTCGTCTTGTTATCTATTTCTATACTGCTAAATAAAAGAGATTGGGACCATTTATGTGTTAGACCAAATGGTGCAGACTGACTTGCCTTCACATCTGCACCTGCTTAAAGCTCAGTGCTGAATTATCCTCCTGGCTTTCTTTACTTGGCAGTGCAGACTTACCTGCCGAGTCTTCACAGTCTCTGACAGTGTCTCATAGTCACAGGCAGCAGTGGAATAGATGGTAGGTTTCAAAGTGTCCACCAAACACCTAGTCTGTAGGCCATGGTCAATAGATCACCAAACACCTTCCCACTTGTTGCCCCACTGGCAACAAACTTACTATCTGAAGGAAAAGACCCATACCCACAGCTATAAAAATACCTGCCAAGAGCAGAAGACACTAAGCTTTCTTCCCAGGGAGAGTGCAAGAGAGGGGCTGGCCCCCATGCTCAGAGGAGGCACAGCCCCAGGGCTGATGGTCCCTCTCAGCCTGTTCCCCAAGGCATCTCTCCTTCAGAATTCAAAGCTGATTTATTTTAACTGTGCCTATAATCAGGATATACTGACTGGGTAACAGAAGCTGCAGCTACTAGACCTGTATCCTGTCTCTATTTGTGGTCAGTCTCTGGTGGACACAAAATAAACCTCCTTTCTAGCCCAAGGGGTGCCCAGTTATAGCTTAGATCAAGTAAACATAAACCTAGCATAAACTAATGAATGATCTAGCATTTTATAGAAGCTCTCTCTCCTTCCCTTCCCCTAACTAGGTAGCAGTCATAACCACAGACAGGAAAAAGAGAAGAAATGGTGAAAATTGTGAATCAGTCCAATCAGCCCTGATGAGACCCTTGTTCCTGAGGGCCTTGTCCCACAAGCTCACCCCTCTTCAGGCTTCAAACCCACCCTGAGATTATTTCCGGAATATCACTGGGATTGTCATGTGAGCTAGGAGCATGCTGGAGCATTGTTAGAGGATTCTCACAAGAGATGGTGAAGTCTTGATTATTCTGCTAGATTTTTAAAAATTACTTCTTTCAAATAAGAACTATCAGAGGGACCAGTTTGGTTCCCTCTTGTGATGTGTGTGTGACCACTACCAATTTGACAAGCTGCTTGTTACAGAGACCCACATTTTTGGTGTCCAAGAAGAGAAACACTAAAATTTACCCTAGTTTAGTCTATCAATGAGCCATTGCTCAGAGACTGTAAGATGCAATATGTACATATTTGCAAAAGTGTGCTATGCAGATAAGCTTTGTGATGGACATCAAGTGGCTCAAAAATGGTGTATTATAGTAGAAGAAATATCCTTTTGCCTATATGAATGACTCTAGACAAATGTATTGCACAGTAATAAAAGTCTTGCAAGAATAACTATAAATCTATAGCAGAACTTTTGTGGCCACTGTGCTGGCAAAAAGTCGCCTCCCTAGCTAACACAGTTATGCAGGCAAAGATCTTCTTTGTGTGATAACAATACATTTCAGATACACATCTTCAGGTCACAATTTACCTAGTACAGAATTTTTCAATTACAAAACCATTGTAAGTCTTGCTATACTAGATCTTATCTTGTTTAAATTTGATGTCCTTTACTGAGCATGCTTGAAGGTGAGTGAGCAATAGCCCAGTGGGCTGACACAGTGGGTTATCACCCCGTTCCAGCACACCGTGGCATAGCCACAAGGGTCAGGACATTGGCTGTGAGGGGTTCATCTCCCACACATGTCCACACCTGAGACAAGATCTGTGGATCTTGTGTAAGCACTGACATCATCAGCTAATCTGTAAAAGTTATTTTAAAGAACTGTGGTGGCTTATTAGCTTTTGTTTCTGAAGGCAAAATTCTCACTGTTAAGCATCCTGTTCCATGCATGTGGCCTAGTATAGTCCCTGAAAACCTCAGCAAGTCATCCAAATCAGTCCCTGGGGTTTTCTCTGTAGTTAGTGGAAGGAGAGTGAGACATCTCCAGGGAATAGCAAAATGTGTTTCCAAAAGAAGCTGGGTCACATGCCCTCTGGAAAATATTCTCTTCCTTCCCAGGGGGAACATGGGCCATGGATGTCGACCAGACACTGGGGTTTGAGGCAATGAATGCTGAAGGTGGTAAATGGCTCCCAGAGGGATTATTGTTGTCAGCTGGCTCTGAGCCATAAAATCTGTAATACTGAAGATCCCCTTCTATTAATATTTTTATGGTATATACGTGCCGTACCTCACTTTATGGTCTCAACAATGTGGAGAATACAGCTATTACTTAAAATGCACCACTGCACAGGTTAACACCAAACACTGAAAACTGAAAGGCAAAATCAACAGGTAACACAATTTATCTTGTACTTTGATACCTTCTCTTGTTAGGTATTGTTGACTCTAGCCCAGCTCGGAGCAGGGGTAAATGACTGAGTAGCCATACCCTCTGCAAAATGTAGTCCTTTTGAACTAATTGGTAAATGAGCTTGTGAAAACAAAGGCCTTGGAAATAATTCAAAATGAGGGACAAGCTCAGTCAGAGCAAGGTGGTGTTTAGCAAATCCCTCTCTTGTTTTCTGGAGGGGACCGCAGCTGCTCAGTACCAACACGGGATGAGTTAAAAACACTCCCAGAGAGAAGACATCCTCTTGCCTCACTCCCTCCCAGCAGCTGCTCCAAGGAAAGCTTGGCAGTTCAAGTAATAAAGTAGAAGAAGAGAGATTTGCTGGGGTCACATGGTTGAAATAAAGTATGCTAATGAAACAATCCATGGAGTTGTTAGCCTTTTTCTTGTCTTTCTTTTTATACAGACTTTGTTTCAGACTGGTCTCCTTTACATGATGCCTCTATCCATGGGCGTCTTCTTACTCTGAAGAAACTCATCAAACAGGTATCCCTCTGCTGGGTTGATATGATCTCTGCTGGGTTTGTTCAGTGGTTGAATGTCATCTGTACTTTATTGTAAAACCTCCAAGGTTTTGGTAGTTGGTTGTAATAGTATTTTCCATTATTTCATCAGGGGAGTGATGTTAATCTTGTTACAGCAGACCAGGTGTCTCCTCTCCATGAAGCCTGCCTAGGGGGACATGCTGCTTGTGCCAGTGTCCTGTTAAAACATGGTGCTCAGGTGAGTACATGAGGGACAGTCTCTAGTGTTAGTATGTTGTATTATCACATTTTAATGTTAGGTGATGTACTATTTCATGTCAGCATATCACTGTGGTTTACATTCTGTAATTAGCTCTGCTTAAGGTACATGTTACAAAATGCACTTCTTAATAAAGCAATCCAAAAAGCACAGATACAGACAATAGTTATTATTGTTCTTCAGATGAAGGTGCAATGATCTCACCATTTACTGAAAGAATAAAGGGAAGTTCCTCTTGTAAAGGTTTTATAATCCTGCAACAGTTAAGGGTGTATTTTATTTTCTGTACACACTAATCTCATTGATGTCAATATGCAGAGTCTTAAGTAGAGGTATAAGACTGTTAGGATCAAGTCATGATAAAATGGGAAGAAAATGCAAACAATGTGCAAGTGACATGGTGAAAAGGGTGTGTCTCATGGTCTCTAGTTTTCAAGATAATATTGAAATTATAGTGAATAAGAAAATTAACTCATTATACATATATTACCTTTCAGGTGTTTTTTTTTTTTTTAAAAAAAAAGGCTGCACACTTTTCAGTTAAAAATGGTCTGTTCAGGAGAGGGCTATGGGCAGGTTTGTTTCAGCTGAGGTAACCAAGAAATGGGCATGCATCTAACTTGGTAACTTGGTAGCTCCTAAGAGACCCTGGAGTGGCACTGGTTAAAAATTCTTTTGCAGGAGGAGAAACTTGGGGGCAATTTTAAAAAATATTATTTTAATGATCTTTTTAATAAAAAAATTGTGATCTTCAGAAGCAGTAGAGTTTTTAGAGGGAATGAAATAAAAAGTATTAAGAACCCTATTTTCTGTTGAGAACTGGGTAATTTTCATCAATTTTGAAATACTGAGAAGACAAAGGAAAAAGCCTGATTGTGATGTTTTTCCTCCAGGTGAATGGAGTTACTGTCGACTGGCACACTCCATTGTTTAGTGCTTGTGTCAGTGGCAGTGTGGCTTGCTTGAATTTATTGCTGCAGCACGGAGCCAGCCTACACCCACCCTGTGACTTGGCATCCCCCATCCATGAAGCTGCTAAGAGAGGTAACCCCACACCATCAGCACTCCTTTCCATGTTACTAGCAGCATGTTGAAGTGGAAGAGAGAGATAAAAGAAGATAATTTTCTTGATTTGGGTCATGTGAAATACCTTCCTAGTTGGTCTCATCATGAGTGGTGCAGTTACTCCCACCGCTGGTGCTCACCGAGGGCAGCTCAGCTTGGCGCTCAGAGCCTCTGAGTTCATGTGGTGACACCTGGAAGGAAGGGATACATTGTCCAAGTCAGCCACTTGCATTGTGGACATCTGAGGGAGTCAGATCTGGCTATCTTCAAAAGCAGTGGAGAGAAACACAGCGTGATTCATCTCATCTTCAGTAGACATCTGAAATGAGTCAGATAAAATGCGAGGGCTTTAGCCTGTTTTGCTAACCGTGGCTTTGCAGCTCCCATTTTCCAGGTTGGAAACACTGGAGTGGATGAAAGTATTACACTACCATCTCTTGACAAAACATTGAATCTTTGCCAAATTACACCACTGCAATAGAGAGTTTGCTGAAAAAAAAGGCCTGATCTCTGTGAGTTGACTCTTCCTTTATCCATTTTAAGGTCATGTGCAATGTATCGAATTCCTCGCGTCCCATGGGGCAAATATAGATCACAACATCAAGCATCTGGGTACTCCCCTTTATGTAGCTTGTGAGAACCAGCAAGTGAACTGTGCCAAGAAGCTGCTGGAGTCAGGTAAAAGAAAAATAAAGGATGGTGTACTTTTGTTTCCTGCAACATCTATCTTTGGACTCTCTTTGCATCAGAGATTTAGAGGAGGTCCTGTTCTGGGACCTGGAGATGTTTCACTCTTAACAGCACTCCTGGGTTAAACAGGACAGCAGAGTAACCAGGGTCTTCTTGACCCAGGAACTCAGCTTTACAGGTCCCAACAAATAGATGGGTGATCCTGGATTTCACATGGCTCGTGGTGCCTGGAACAAGCACCATCCTTTCCAGTGTCTCTGAGTGTGATGCTGAACTATTTCTGCATCAAACAAACCAAAGTCTAAGCACTTGGATAATTATACAAGACCATTTCTTGTTACCTACAGTAGTGCAACTCTTCTAACCAAAGGGGTCATATAACCTAAAGTACTCAACAAAGACGCTTTGGAAAAACCAAGCAAACATCATATAGATCACCTTTCAGGTAGGTCACTATTTAGCATGGTGATCTTTTTTGGAAGAAGACAGATACAAATTAATCTAAATATTAAATGTTTGGTTATTATTTTCTGCTTTCTGTCATTTTGGTTTTGCTGCCTTCTATATTTGAGAATGTGTAGTATAAAAACATTATAAATACTTTTGAATTAGTTCTGAAGCTCACCCTTCTTAGGTTGTTCTAGGAGCCATTAGCCCAGGATAATGGGTGGGGGGATACTTATAAGGGGTGCTTGCTTATATCCTCCTCTACCAGGGCCCTCTAGAACTTTTCCATCCTGACATTTTTTTCCCAACAGATACTTTGACATTTAGAAATCCCCCTGGCTTAAACCTCCGGTACAGAGCAGGTTGAAAGCCTGCATGCATTTTAAGGAAATGGGGCATGAGGATGGGGGCCAAAGGTGGGCTGTAAGTGGAAATACATCTCTGTTCTGCTTCAAGTTATTCATGGGCTTGGCTGTGGATGAAGGACTTCCTCATGCACTGTTCCTCTGGGATCATTAGTCACAACCTCACTTATCCTCTACCAGTGTGAGTTGTGCATGTGCAAACTGTAGTACCAAGACCCCAGCATAAGGAAATCCACCTCTGTGTGTATGTTACAGCATTTACAGATTAATCAGAGAAATAGCAACTACTGCAGGAAATTGAAATAGTCTAGTGTATAGTCATTATTCTTTGTCATTATTCATTGTCATCTCTTGATGTTCAGGAGCAAATGTGAACAGTGGCAAGGGCCTGGACTCCCCTCTGCACGTGGCTGCCAGAAATGGCAGTATGGAGCTGGTGATGCTGCTGATTGACTTTGGAGCAGACATTTGGGTGAAGAATGATGAAAGCAAGAGGCCGATGGAGCTGGTCTCACCTGGCAGTCCTGTGGGCCGACTGTTCCTGCAAAAAGAAGGTGCCCCTTAGTACTTATTTTGTTTGTTCATTCAGGATTTGTTAGGGATAAAACACGCAAACTGCTGCAAAAGGCTACACTGTTCCATACTACTGGCACTATAAAACTGAGAACAACTAAGCTTATCTCCATTTGCTGACATATGGTTGCTATGTTTTCTCATGCCAGAATATAGTGGTGCACTAACAGTGATAATGGTATTAATAATAACCCATCTTTCGACCTCTGGGTTGTGAATCTACTGCATTGGGGAGCAATCATATGAAGCCTGCAACATAGTGCAAAATAGAGCTTAGGGTGAAAAAACAAGCACAACGCTCTTTAGAAATTAATGGTAGCTTTTTCTGATTACCTAAAGCAATGAAGTCAGTGGGAATCTTTCAACTCCATTGTGTATGAGATGGGAGTAGACCCAGGAGTGTTATCTGGAGTGTGCTGACAAATGCAGGCAGCAAATCATCTCTGACGGGAATTAGGCTAGCTAGTGAGCATAAGGCTGGGATCTTTGGTTATACAATATGCTGATGGTCAGGTGCATGCCAGATACTGGTCTCAGCATAAATGCAAAACTGCAACCAGGACACTTTTAAATCATGTGATACGGAAAAAAACCCAAGTATATTGAAAGACTGATCTTCTAGTTCTTTGCCCTTTACTTTTATTGTTGGGCCAGGCTCTTATATAGGTACAAAAATATCATTAAAATGAAAAACTATATTATTTCTTTTGTGGGGATTAAGGAAAATTGCACAGGACTGATATAATGAATATATATATATATATATATATATGTATATACATTTCTACAGTAGGCTTTTTTTAAAGGCCAACATTATGTGCTGAATAATCCAGCAGTATCAAACTGTAATCTTAACCTTTAGGAAGTGCTTATTTTATACGTGTGAATGAAATAGTTACAGATCATTTTATTTTATTGATTATGAATACTTTAATACATTATGGAGATAAATTTTACTCACCATTCTTGAGGAAAATTAGAATAAGGTCCCTAGTGTCTACTCATTGGTGTCTTCACATATTTTCATTCAGCCAGTAAACTATACACATTACCAAATAATCTGGATTTTTATTATTTTAACCAAGTTGCTGATGGGGTGGTCCATGACTCTAGTATGCCAGTTACATGTTGATGTGATTGTTATTCCAGTTTTACCTTGGTGTAAATCTTTTTCATGACAGCAAAGTGATGAATCAGGCCCTGCTTGAGATAGTAGTATGAAAATAATATCACAAAAACAACTGTGCTATGCATGTTGTGTATGAGCAACTGGTATTTGATTTTCCAGCCTAATCTACGGTACACACAGCAGTGACATTTTTGAGCTCTATCCCTGCTGTGTTAGACTCCTGACTTCTGTGGCACCACATGCGTCCTGTTTATTTGAGATGATAGAAAAATATTTCAGGCACACCCTATGGAGCTCTTCCCGAGAAACGCTGCTCAGGCTGATCTGACATCTTGGGCAGTAAGGAAATCTTCTATGTGAAATTCAGCAATTGAAATCAGAAATGATAAATACCTGAAGGGCATTTTGCTCCTGAATACTGTTTTTCTGATATTCTTCAACATGCTCTTCTCAGAACAGGGTCATGCCTGAGGGACAGTTGATGTATAACTTCTTTGGCCAGCTGAATGGTTGCAGCCTGGGAGAGTGGTGTAAACATTACTCCTCTGGTTTCACGTAGAGGTTTGGAAATGTCTTGTGGGGATCAGTCACCCTGCCAGCCCCACAGCTGCTCAGCACTGTCATGGCTGAGCTGCTGCTCTCCTGCCCCACTGCCATGCAGGGCTCTTCACCCCTGATTCTGCAAGTGCTGGGGGGCAGCAGCTCCACGCCTATGGCCAGGGCAGGCTGGAGGGAATGTGCTTTGCCACCAGAGACAAGTTGGCGAGTGTGCTGACTATCACTAGCACAGCTAGCGGACTAGCCCAGAGCAGGTGTAGAACATGGGGTGGTCGCCCTTCTCAGGACTTCAACATGCTGCTGCATTAGTGCATAGCCTGCTTGTGTTGCGGGAAGAGTCCTACGTGTGGATGGGAGAAACAGCTAATGATCCAAAAATGCACTGTGTTTTAGAAGAGTATGCTTGCCTTTGCTAAGTATTTTTCAGTGTAGTGACACTGAAGTCCAGGTTTTGCGGTTTGGTTTTTCTTTTTAAATGGAAGCTTTTTTAAATGAGATGTTTACAGGCAGGGCATTTATCTGTGGGATCAGAATGGCCAAACACACATGGCAATAGTCACTTTAACTTGCTCCAATATGGACTTGTCTTGCTCTTTACCCAAGCACAGGGTAACTAACTCATCTGCTGACTCTTAGCAGCCCAGTGCAGCCCTTTGCACAGCCCTTCCAGTAGTGCAGCAGTTTTCAGCCTTGCAGAGCTGCTAGAAATGTCGTGTCCTGCATGAGGGAAATCTCAAAAGCTGATGAAGGCTGCCACCTCACCGCATTTTTGCTGTGGCCCCTGTTCCTTCCCACTGCACTGCACTCTTCCAGCAGCACTAACATTTCACCTCTCTGCAAACTGCCACCTTACCACCCCTCTGGCAGGCAGGTGCAGCCGGTGGCACCTAAACTGTCCCCTCCCAGCTCACTGACCTCCCTCTCCATCTCTACATTGTCTCTTACCTCCTCCCCACTCACAGCATCCAACCTACCCTGTCCCGCACTGTCTCACCCCCCAGCACAAATGACTCTTTGGGGATCTGAATGTTGATAGGTGCCACAGTTAAAACATCACACAGGACCTGTCTCTTCCTGGAAAGGACAGGTGACCCAAATAAGTGTGTAAGGACATGATACTAGATTTAAAGAAAGTGCAACAGATTCTTCAGCAGGGCTTGTATTTATCAGCATGGGAACAGTTAATCTGGAAGGTTTAAATAAAGGATTATATAGTATTTTTTTGCTGTGTGTTTGCCACTGTTACAAAATAAGTCTCAAGAAAGCAGTGGGCCGCAAACCTGGTACCAAGGACTTTGAAGGAAGCATCAATCACCTCTTCTTCTCAGACAACACAAACCACTTCACACTTGTGCAACTTAACATGAAAGACCGACATTGCCAATGCTAACTGCGGCCGTGTAGCAACAGAGACTGAGTAGGCTTGAACTGAATTGCAGGCAGGCTGATGTCCTTTGGTGGGTGCAGGCCTGGCTTTTCACTGCTGAGCCTTCTGGGGGCCACATACCCCCAGCGCAAGGTGGGTTGCAGGAGGTGGGGCGAGCGGTGGTGCACAGCTGCTGTTTCAGCTTTACAATTTTGGGGCAATAAAGCCACATGTGTAACCTCATCCCTGTCTCTTTCTTCAGGGCCACTGTCCTTGATGCAGTTGTGCCGCCTGTGCATCAGGAGGTGCTTTGGACACAAGCAGCATCAAAAAATAACTGGACTTCTTCTGCCAGATGAGCTGAAACATTTCCTTCTACATGTTTAAGGCCTTCATGTTAAAAATGGTGCCTTTAATAACACAGCAAGGTTTGTTGAGGAAAGACTCTTTTTCTCATCAGTAGTGTTGCCAATGCCTGCAATGTTAATATGTGAGAGATGGTGGTCTCTAATAAAGCCCTGGGTCCAAGAAGCACAGGACCGACCAACTTGCTCAGTCCTCACTGCCACTGCCCCCAGCAAATCCATCATTTGGAAAGGAACAATTCTGCATGGTTGCATGGTGACGCTTGGAAATGTGACTTGAGAACACCCTAGAAAGCGTAGAAAATGAGCATAGAATTTTAAAATAGATCCCTTGATTTTCTGGCACAGTTTCAGAGGGCTCATGGTTGACAGCCCCTTACAGAGAAAATGCATATCCTGGACCAGCACTAACAGCTCTTCATGTATATATTAAGGATACTAAGGATAGCTACACCTTCTCTGTAAGCAGAGCTCATATGCCTGTCATTTGTGAGGGCTGTACTCACACTACTGTACAGACAAGGAAATGGAACCCAACTGAACCTACTTGCAAAGCAAGCAAGGTCCTTTGGCAGAAGTTACTTATTTTCTAAGTATATCTCACTGTGGATAGATGAACACCAACCAACAATCATCTGCATTTAGGCCAGCATCTGAAACATGCATTTCTGCCATGACAGCAAGTAGGTCACTGCTGATGGCAGCTCCCTACAGTGCAATCATAGTGGGGAGAATGTTTTTAATCATCCATTAAATTCACTTATTACTGATGGTTTGAGACATAAGGGAGCCACACTTCAGAACTACACATTTTCTCCTTGTAGCATATTATTTTTCAAGGGCACAGGCTAACAGGCTATCAGCTGCAGGCATTGAGTGCTCCCCCTTTCTGCCCTGAAAATTAGGTGATATTTCCTAAGCATTTCTCAGCATGCATCAGAAAAACAACAGCTTTTATCCCCTTTCCCACCCAAGAAGAGAGATCATCTTAAGAGATAATTTTTTTTCTTGAAGAAGTGCTCCCTCATTCATAGCATTTTCCATGGAAATTGTGATAATAACACCTTTAATATGTGGCCATAAAACAAACAATGAAAATACTGAAATTAAAGTCCATTCCAAGTTAAAAAGATAATGGATAATTTCTCCCTCCAACTTGGTTGCTGAGTTTCTGGCTCAGTGTATGTGTGTCTCAAAAAAACATGACATATGTGGTTCTTATTCCACTGAGGTCATAAGAATAAATATTTCCTCCAGCTAAACTTTAACACTGGGTGTTTTCCTTTTCCTCCCACAAACAAGTCCTGCTGCCACAAATCAAAGTGCAGTTATGACCACTCTGTGCTCCTCCGGCTGCTCCACTGGGAATATTGGCTGCCGATACATGCAGGAGTGAAGATGTTGAAGCCTGGCTTTTCTGCCCACCACCCTGCCCCCTCTTCAGCTTTAAACCATGGCGCATCTGCATCACCTGGGAGCAGCAGCACACCCACCACTTCCCCTGAGGGTCTACCACCACGTCACCCCTACATTGGAGGGGCAGGCCACAAACTTCAGCGCTCTTGGAGACTCTTCTTTTTCATTTTGCTGTGGAGACTCCTGCAAGACTGGGCTTGGTGTCCAAAAACTGTGATGACATCATTAACACCAGCAGTGAGATATAGAGAGTCCTCATCTTTTAAGTGGAAAGACTGACAGTCTTCAAATACACAAACTTATTTTGACGTTTACTAGCGTGCCAGTGTGAGGTGCAAGCCTTCCTTTCGCACATTGGAGGTTAAAGAGGATGGATGAAATGCTACCTGGATGCTTACATTTGATGCAAATTACAATTCAAATCCTCGGCTGGACAACATGACTGCTGGCATCCAGTATGATGGCTTGGGTTTTTTTGTGCTGACCAAACACAAGTGGAGTTCTGTTGGTTTTGTGGGACGCTAAATTGTACCCTAACAGAACAAAAAGACAAACCCAGTTAGGTCCATAACTCTCCACATTAGACACACCTAGAAACCTTCACTTATCCAACCCCATTCATCACACATAATTTGAGCCATGTAAAAATTCACTAGCTGGTTTAAGATGGCCTTCTATAGTCTTTCCCTCCTGCTGGGGAAAAAAAGTAGACATGTCTTCATAGGCTGAATAAAAGCAGGCATCTTGGATGTGAAATGTGGATTCTTCTAAAATCAATACCTGGCCTAAGCTGAATGTGCATTGAACAGCCAGGGAACAGACAACGAACCTAGTGCTTAACTTTGGAAGATTAGTGTGAAGAATCCCTGCTCTGGAGACACACCTGAAAGCTGAAGATCCAGTTTATTATATTTTAGATGATGAATAATGATTTTTTTCCATACTAATTTTATTATTTACCTTTAAGCATCTTCTGTTGTAACTTCAGCCAATGGATTCATAGGAGTAATGCTAATATCAGGAGAAAGTTGCTCCAAGAAGGTGGTGAGAGTGTTGCTTCTAGGTAGCTTTTCTGGAAATTCTGTAGTGTGACTCTGTTTACTTGAGTCCCTCTGATCAAGGATTTTGTATGCTCAGCTTGTATCATCACAGTATGTTTGCTTATTTATTTTAACATAAATTGTGATCAAAACCGACAAATTACAGCTTTATGCATCAACATTATCCAGTTATCAACTGTAAAAGTTGTACAAGATGCAAACTGAATAAGCTAATTATAGGTGAAGTTTGGACCTTTTTCTATATTTGAAACCATCCCAAATGTAACACAGGACTTGAAAGATTGTCAGGAATATATTCTTTGCTATTATTTTGTTGGCAGTTTAATGGTAGTCAAATCACAATTCTATAGGATATTTGCTCAGAAGTTAATGGTTTATACTTTAAAAAAATTAAATCATTTTTTTAAATGATAGCACTAATTTTGTGAATTGTCTGATACTATGGAAGTTTGAACTGAACTCTAATTGTTTGCAATCCTGCCTACAGATAGTGTACAGAATAATTCCTTCAAATAGACCTATGCTAAAGATAAGACTAAAATGACAATACTATGCAAATCTTGCATTTTGTTGTTTTAAGGTAGAGTTGGTCTCCTGCAATTCTTTTTCTACTCACATGAGGGGTAGGGAAAAGGAGTCAGAGATTTCAGAAAGTAGAAAAAGATCTAAGTTAAGATGGTCACAATCTTTAGTTTGTTTTGGGGGTGGTTTTTTTTGTTTGGGTTTTTTGTTTGTTTTGTTTTGTTTTGTTTTTTTCCTGATTTGTATCCATTTGTTTCTCCTGTCTCTTCAGCAAGAAGCATGTGTAATGCTCTGGGTGCCCTTGTGTGTGCCTGCACAAGAACCCTTTACTGGAAGTGAGCATGTGGAGTATGGTCAGAAGTCCAAGGGGTATGTGCCAGCACCCAGCAGGTACACTGTGGGGCTGGAGAGATGTGGGAGAGCAGTAATTCCCTCTCTGTTAGATGCATTTCTGGGAGTCTCTGCCCACAGAGACCAGCTGAAAGAGACAGGGCAATGCCAGCAAGTTGCTTTACAAGATGTTGTTTCTGCTGGATACAGGGCTGCTTATGAAAACTGTGGGAGTAAACAACCAATGCCTCAACAAAAGAAGACAACTGATTTAAGCAAGGTATTTCTCTATTTATTGGAAGATGTCTCATGCAACAAATCACTGGAAAGTTATTCTGGCTCTGCAGTAGTTGCTATGTGGGATCAGCCATGTACCAGGACTCAGTTCTTCGTTCTGCAGTCATGTACAAAAGTCCACATATGCCCTGTCCATTTCTCACAGTTTCATATTTTGCTCTTAACTGGAAACCACAGACATCCTAATCTAGTAAATACATACAATACAGCAATATACAGTTTTGAACATATGCAGAGAATGTCCTCTTGCCTCTTCACTGACATGAAATCATTTTAAGATTACTAAGAAGGAAATAAATTTTACTAGTTTAGCAATATGGGACAGACCAGCTGCAAAATAGCAGATTAGTGGTGCTAGAAGAAAGAAATGCTTGTATCCCTAAACTGGGATATACTCAACTGTCCTCAGACTCATGTTCTTGAGAGCCACAGGTCCAGGACTTGATGCTCCTGAAGCTACTTTTTCTTGCTTAACACATGCACTGTATCTGTCAGAATGGAGACTCCTTTGGCCTGCAGTCCCATCCTGAACCCTGATGGCTTTGAATAAAAATTCCTGGGAGTTATTTCTCTGCACATAGAACAATTATTTGTCATTCCTTGATATATTGCTCAGTTCACCACTCCAAGGGATACTCACTTTAATGCACGCAGGCAACATTTGATGCAAAAGTGCTCGCTCCAGGATGCCCCAGGGAGTCCACTTTTCTTTGAAATGACAGCAGTGAACTATCGCTGGGAAGAGAAATATTTCTAATTCTTACATCCCCGTTCAACATGGTAGCCTTTATTCCAGCCCTACCTGAGTGCTCGGGTAGAACACCTGGATGACATCTGGCTCATGTCACTGTGCAACAAGGTCTTGCTTCTTTTCTATGCCAGGTGAAGCGTTTCCTTCTCTGAACTATTGCCCTTTGTGTTTTTAAAGGGCTTGAAACTCATTAATCATCACTGATTCAAGAGATACAGGGCTAGATTTATGGCTTTAGTGCCTGTGAAGTAAAATTGAGTTTGTAATCTGTCAGCTGTCTCACTTCACAAATTAAACTGCAGAGTCTCCGCTGAGTTTGGGGCTTTTGAAATCCCCAGAGCTTTTCTTTCTGTGGTCTGAAAAATACAGCAGGATCAGTTAAAGCAGCTCTTTGTCTCATGAAAGAATGCTGACTCCGAGTTCTGAAGGTTCATACAGGCACTGAAAGATGTTCTGAATATGGCAAGTATAGGGTTGTCTTGTCATTGAAACTGCATTTTTTGTTAATTTATTTAGGGTAATATGAATTGTGTTGGTTTTGTCTTTGATTAAATAATTGTCCCAAAACATGAATCGTTGGTGTTACAAGCTTCTGCGTGGAGCAAATCTCCCAGCAGCTGCTTTGTTCTCCCCAGTCCTCCCCAAAGGTGCGTCACCCCTGTACATGACTCCCCTTTTGCACCCTCCTGACGAGCATGAGGAATGAGGCTCACAAACTCTTTGTCCATTCCAACTGCTTATATGTAATTTTTGGTACAGCTGGTAGGCGACACCTCTACATTTTCAAGTCTTTTCATTGAGAACTATAGACATCTCTTTCCAAAATAACTCCATTCATATTCATGAGTTCAGAGTAGCTGACAAATATATTTCTGCTCCTTAGCTGATTAGATCTTGGTGAGCACAAGGGGTGCATGTATCCCAACTTCCTTGGAGTTAAGTCTACTAATTTATCCCATATAAAAGGTGAAGCACTCCTCAGGCCCTGGGAGTACCAGCTTACACCCTTTGTTCACTGATCACTGGAGGGAGAATGGCTTTGCTCACAACTCCTAGTCATTTTTCTAGTCAGCCAGACACCCTACCCAAAACCTTTTCCTCATAGAGTAAAGGTTAAGAAGTAGCTTTTTCTCTCTTTCAAGCTATAATTACTTTTATTTCTGAGGCTAGAAAATAAACAAAACCAACTCCAAACAGTTCAATCCAAATCAAGTAAATTTTCCATTTTTCTTGCAGGAGCAGAACACATGAAAAATATTATCCACCAGTTGGGCTGTTGCGACATATTCCTTAGAGGTGACGGAAGCAAATTCAAAACCTGTCCTAGAATGAAATAGATTCAATCTCTATCTTTGTTATTCCTGGCATTTTGGAGATAAATTCTCCTCATTTTTGGTGAATCTAAGCCTCTCTCTCATCCAATTTATCCAGCAAGACTGTCTGACTTGAATTCATTAATAGTTTCTCACTGATAGTGTCTCAGTACATGAATGCAGAAGACCAAATGTTTGGATTTTAGGATATCCCTGGGGCAGGGACTCTCAGCCCCAGGGGGCTGAAATGGGGTCCTAGACCATGGGCAGTGTGGGGGGTGCCCCAGGGGCCTGACATGGGGAGTAAATTCTGGTGGTGCTCTCAGGGCCTGAACATCTGGGCAAGCCATGCAAATTCTCATCATCCACGGCATCCTATAAAGGTCTGTAGCTCCGCCATGTATTTTGTGTGTGGTTAATTCCCCTAATTTGTCCTGCAAGAGTTTTCAGATAATTATATCTGGGAAAATGAACAATTGTTTCTTACCCTCTCCTTGGTACTCCCTTGATAGTTCTCTATCTCATCCCTCCTTCATAACCTCTTCTTTTCCCATGCCAAAGACTCCCAGCCTCTTTAACAACTATTTGGACAGAAGCTGGGTGACCATAATACTGTGATTCTATTTGTAAATGAAGTATCACCTCCAAAAAAAACCCCAAAGAAAAAATAGCCACAGATATCTAATCTTTCCCAGCTACTTTCCTTGCTTGGCCTGTAGTGTTTTTCAGATACTTCTTTGTTCCTGGCTCATATAACCAGACAGCTTAATCCAAAAGAAATGCCTAGTGAAAACACCCTTAGTTCATTTCCTGAAGGAGTTTTACACATGCTCTCTCCTTTCAGTTATCTCATTTCATAAAAAAAGATCTTAATTGTTTTTCACGCTAATCCTGGATTAAAGCAGGAGTGCTACGTGCAAAACCTCCAGCAAAAGGCATAGCACAGAGAGCTCTTTTCCTGAGATATGGAAGAGAGATTGTGCTTGATCCCTGAACACAGTCCAGAGGTTGTGTCTGCTCTTCCATGTGCTTGGGCTGCTGAGCAGAGGTGCTCACGCAAGGCATTTATATCATGTTAAGCATGATGATTAAAAGCCCCCAAACCCCCAACTCCTATAAACCACAACTGAAAGCCAGAACATTGAGAGACATGTGGGAGAGGAGTAACTGAATAATTTCTGCCTTGGGAGGCTGGGATAGGGATTTGCTGCCTTTTCCCCGTCACTGCAGCTCCCTGGTGCTGGCTGCCTGCTGCCCCAGGCACAGGAGCCTTCCTGGGGCAGGAGGGCGAGGGGTGAAAAACGGCTGCCATGGGGGCTGTCAGCCCCGCCGCCTTTGCCCACTCCTGCGGACAGTGCTAGGTTTAGCCAGCAGATGGTATTGCTGGCACATGCCTCTGCAGAAAAGTTTTGCGAGAGGAATAATCAGGCAAAAAATAGATCTAGGAGAGTCGTAGTGCTGGGATTGTATGCAGCCTCAGGCTCACGTGGACCAGGGAATCGCTCATCATTGCCACTTCCATCTGAAAGCCGTGCAAGTTTTGTTTTTTACTGCCCTACTATTGCCCAGCTTTTCTGTATCATTTGTCTGAAAGCACGATTCAGCAGGATGAATACAATGCTCAAGGCTTCTCTTAACTGATGGATTAACTGCGCTTTATATTTACATTCCTTTTATGGTGAAGATGAATATTTTTACCATTCATAGATGCTGTGAAGAAAGCACTGGAGAAGTCTGGAAAAGAAAATGCTCTTGCTTGGTTATTGGTTGTCAATGACCTGGTAATTAGTTATCTTTCAGCCCTCCCAGTCTTAGAAAGGTCTGCTCTTTGACTTAGTTTTTTTATATAGCAGCTTGCTTAAGATATTTTTCTTCCAACATCCATTAGCACTTGACAGAAAAAATATCAATTCCAGAAAATGGAACATCCATACCTACGGATACTATGTATAATTAACCAATAAGATGCTGAAATCTGCCTTGGTGTTCAGAATTATTACTTACTGGAGTATAATACCCTTCAAAACCCCGTCTCTCTTCTAAGGAAACAACTGTATTGCCAGCTTTCTAATTTCACAGGCTGGCTGTCACCACATTATAGAGAGCAGCTTTAGGTAAGACTCCTTCCGGTAATTTATTTGGGGCAAGACTGCTCCTTGGAGCTCCTTGGAGCTTTCTTCTAAAAAAACATGCAGCACTGGACATGACAAAACCATTTGGTGTCACAGCCAGGACTTGTCACATCTGTGCTCCATGCCGTGCAATGACTGATTCCAGGGAAATGTCTTATTTCTCTCTAGAGAACATGTCCTCTCTACAATGTTTTGTTTATTCCACTTTCCATTATCTTCAACCCAGGAGATGTATGCATTGCATATGATGCTCTAATTCAGCTTCATGTCTTAGAAATAAATGCCTTGACATAATGACTACATGTAGTCTAG